ATAAGTAAGTAAGTAAGAGATTTCTATGCTCATATTTCTATTTTTTTTAAAAAATACAATCTCTCATACACACATGTGTATATGCTGCACTTTTTCTATGTTGAAAAGATCTTTAAAAAAATCTAAATAGGAAATTGATCGAACATTTCCCGTGTTTTTATTTTAATAATTTGAAAATTTTTTTTCTCATGTTTTACAATCAGATTATTTTTCATCTTTATAAATATTGACATAAGAAATTCATACAACACACTAGTGAATGACAAGACCAATAAAACTGACATGTACATTGTTGTTCTTCAAACTTTCACCAGTTGTAATTGTCATATATATATCGCTGTAAATAAAAGGAAAAAGATTTCTATCAGTAACCTGTAGTAGTAAATGTTTGTAACATTCACTGGATGTATGTAAATATTATACAAAAAGTATAAAAAAAAATATCATACATGGAAAAAAAACGTTTTTTCATTGTTTAATCATTTTTGTGCTACAATCGTCAACTAGTCTATGATGAGATGTATCACATAAGAGTTGAAATTTGTAAGCTGGGAGAGAGAGTGAGAGAGAATAAAACGAAAGTTATCGACTGAAAAGTGAAACACTTTGATTGAAATTATGAGTCCATCATTGTTAGACCAACATTAGAAACCTGGTAGCACTGAAAGACGGACGTTTTGTCCTAATATAGCAATCATCATCAGTGCCTAACCACGACTCTTGCCACTCACTGGATTTGAACATAGGACCTTCGGTCTTCCACGCGAACAACTAACCACTGGACTACTGGGCTGGCATACAACGGTGTCATTGTCTAACTCTTATCAACCTTCAATCTGTGCGACCTCATTGGATGCGGCCATTTTATTCGCAGGAGTCGTGGACGTGCAACACTGATGAGTTCGATACCAGGACGAAACGGCCGTCTGGTGCTTCCATGTTTTTGAATGGTGGTCTAACAATGCTTGAGTCACTGCTTTTACAATCAAGTTTCGATTTTGTTAAGTTCGTCACTAGGTATGCTTGAAACTAATACGAGTTCACCTTAGTCGATATACGCAAACGAGACAATGAACCAGCCTCCAGGTAGGATACCTAGATCCTAAAACTGCAAAACAGAAGTCTTAATAAGCATAGAAAGTATATTCTATAAACACCCAGCAAGCACAATACAATCAAGCACACAACTCTCGTTTATTTATACATCATAGAAACGTCCTTGGAACAGTCACAAAAGTAGCACACTAAAATACACAGCAGCCAATCACAGCCAAGGATTTTCCTGGTGGGAAATGCGATCTCAAGGTCAACTGATTAGCCTGTGCTCGCAAATGGGAAATCCAAAATAAGGCATTTATCAAGCGAATTCTGGGGATGAAATAATTTGAGTTTATAAAAATGCCAATTTATTGAAAAATTCCATGTTGAGCCTTTCCTGGATTACTGACTAGATATTCTGGAAATTATTTATCAGTGATACTTTTTCTAAAACATTTGCGCTAGCAACATTATATTAACTGTCCAATTAGAAGTGTTGTTTATTTACGCTGAAAATGCTGACGTTCAATTAACAATGTGAAGGTCGACTAATATTATGCATTGTATTCAAATTGTTTCATGTTCCAATAGAGATTTTTTTCTGAATCATCTATTCTGATATGATTTGTGTAAGTTATAAATTATTATTATTAGGTGATCACAAAGTGAACTAAACTTTTTAAGAGAAAAACATTCTCCTATAAGTATTCATTAGCGAAACATTCTTACCAACAAACAGAATTTAGTAGACACTGCCTACACCCGAACAGGTTGAACTTCACTGGTCACGTCTTCCCACTAGAACTCGGAGAAGATTCCTCACGAAGCTAGTCACTAGTGAGCACAGGTAAAAAAAATGGGTAACTTAACAATCTTCACAACCCCGTAATGCAAATTACCTGTGCTCACTAGTGACTAGCTTCATGAGGAATCTTCTCCGAGTTCTAGTGGGAAGACGTGACCAGTGAAGTTCAACCTGTTCGGGTGTAGGCAGTGACTACCGAAGACTGTGTATGAGGTTGCGCAACTCCGTGAATTTGATCAAGTTAGACATTAACACCGTTAGATACCGGCTCAGTGGTCTAACGGTTAGGGCGTTCGCGCACAATACCGAAGGTCCTGGGTTGGAATCCTGCGGGGTGCAGGAGTCGTGGATGCGCACTGATGAGGAGTCACATACTAGGACGAAACGGCCATCCAGTGCTTCTGGGTTTCTAATGGTGGTCTAACATTGATCGATTCATGGTTTCAAAAAATGTGTCACTCAACAATCTTCACAACCTCGTAATGCAAACATAATTTAGTCAAATCTGGCATAATTAAACTATTCATTGGAGCATTTTTAACTTACAAAAAGTCATATTTTAATAATTTATTACACACTTTCCTATATTTTTCAAAATATCAAGTGACTACCTTTACGTTCATTGCTTAAATTACCTTACAATCTATTTCTTTCAAGCATGGTTGTAATATGACCAAATTTTTCAAATCACATATAAAAAACAAATTGAAGTTTAACTTTCAAACTTGTTTAAATTTGTATTTTTAAATTATTTTCAAATTTCTATTAATTATTCCAAAATGGTTTTTTCACTAATTTAAACAAAATGTTTACGTCAAAAAAATATTCGAATAAATAATTATGAATCTTATTTTTTTCACTTAGCTAAAAAGATTCAGTCTTGGGACTGACAGTAGTCTAAGAAAGGCTCCAGGCGGAGTTTTTCAATCAATTGTGAATTATGCACTCACATTATCTTAACAGAATAAATGAGAAATATATCTATCATTCAAAAGAAACTATGAATTTCTGATTGCTTCACATTTTTAAATAATTAATGTTTTTAGAATATTGTCCCGACTATAGCTGTCACCTTGACGTGGTGGTCAAGCTTGCCTATCGTGATGACCCAACCGAGCTATATTGGCTGGAACATATGTTTCTGAAGGTTCTACCATGCTAGGCTGGTCGATTGGAGAATAATGAGACTGAAAGCAGCTGCCCAAGGTCTGAGGGCGAAGTTATACTGCTGACTGCAGAGGGGTGTGACAGCAGTAAAGCGTTTCCCTTGGACAACCAGCATCTGCAGCGATGCTGCCTTCTCACAAGGAAGGAAGGGTTAGAAAGGGTCGACCCGAAACATGTCACACCTCACCCTACCTCACGGATTTCCGTCTCCGTCGGTAAGGGTGCCCAATAAGGGTTTTTAAGAGCGGAACTCATACTCAAAAAACCTTCATAAAATGGCCGTGCGTGACCGGCCTCAAGCAGTTGTCCCTTGGGCTTTGCGGTCACGCCTGCGGGTCTCTAAGACCAACACTAATCTACCTTCCTTTTCAGATCCCTCAAGAAACAACCTTCCACGGTTTGGGCAGCCGGGAAGTGACAACCGCTCTCATACACGTAACAGTACGAGATACCAAAATGGTCAAAATCAAATCCTTCTTACACCCTCTAATATCTCTAGAATATTGTCACTTATGATCAATACAGTCTTTAGTTTAGTTCAAAGTCAATTTAAGCAGACAATATAATGCAACTATTTTTCAGATTGATTATTTGCACAATGATTGTTGAATGCAGGAAATAATAAAAATTTAATAGGTGATAGTCAAATCAGATGAAGCTTTCATAAAATATTGAAATATATATTGTCTAAGAAAGAGAAGTTCAAGTATATTGGTCGATTAGGTGATCATTGGGAAAAATACAATGATGCGTAAGAAAATGATCTGAATATGCTTCTTTTGAACTCAATGCTTCATTGGAGGGTTCAGTGTGTGTACTAAATATGTTGAGCCTACATAACTGGTGTTAGCTTTTGGATAAATCAATTAGTTACTATTCGTATGTTATCTGACCTTGTCAATTATTCACTGACAACCTTGGTTGTTGTTAACCAGAATGCATGTGTATGCGTTCCTTACGTCGCTTGTCACATACCTAGCGAAATTTTTGTCTGATTATAAATACTTTGTGATACCATATCACATTTAGTTGGTTAACTGGTCTTCTCCTTTTCAATTTGCTTTCCTTGTGCACATCGTTTATTCTCATATCTGTCTGAGTGAACAATTGCATGAAATAGATCAGTTCAACTTCTTTGGGTTTTAAATACCGCCACTACACAAACGAGTTTCAACAGGATGTTTAAATATTTTCATAAATACTTTTATAGTTAAGAAAAGTTTTTGAAAGAAACTCTAATTTAACGAGTTTACAATTATGATCTAACTTTTTCAAACAGTTGGACGATAAAAACATTTCAGTCATAGACAGCAAATATACACTGTCACATTACTCAACAGACAAACTCCTCAACACAAACCTACTCACCACTCAGTTTCACATAATGTTTTAAAAACTACTAAGTTATATTGCACAGAGCATTTTGCCTAGAATTACTGAAAACAAAAAATTTATTTATTCAAAGATTTATGTATCCTCCACATATAATAATAATAATTATTATAATTGTAGACATTCAAATCAACCAATCAGAATTCAAATCAAAATAACCAATCGAAAATACAGATTGCCTAGTTACATTTTTAAAATGAAATTCAATCAAATAAGACAGATGATAGATAATTCCACCACATATTTATTTTTTGTTTGTTTGTTGGTTAGCAAATTCTCACGTCTTAACCAACATAAACTATTCATCATTCATTCATTCATTTATTCAGTAGAATGAATACGATCACATACAAGTTTCATTATCTAATTTAAAAAATAGGGAGAATTTGAATTTGAAGGATATTTAAATTTAATACATATTTGTCAAGTCAACAAGTTCAAGTACATTTGTATCGTACTAACTGTCTATTCGTGATGATCAAATAAATATGTATATATGTTTAAATGTTTTATCAAAATAATTTCTGAAACAAAAATGAGATTAAACATTTATATTATATCAACATTGATATATAATTTCATTTTGGTACAATCAAATATGACACCAACTGAGTAAGTTTTCTTTATATTTGTATGAATCAGTAAATTATTAAGCTTTTCATCAATACAGTCCTTTAAAATGAGTATTGTTCAATTTTCAATGAAAATATTAAATTTTAAATCAAAATTTAGTAGATACGGTGAACTGATTATTTATTTAGTGATAATCGATGTATAATTTAAATGAGATGGTTTTTTTCAACAAAGTTATTTAAGTACACATTTGAAATCATCAATCAATCAATCCTTTTTAAATCGCACCATTATAAACCCACAAGCACTGGACGGCCGTTTCGTCCTAGTAAGGGACTCGTCAGCAGCACGTATTTCCGATTCCTGCACCTCTCGAGATTCGAACCAAGGACCTACGGTCTTGCGCACGAACGACAAACTTCTGAACCAGGACCGTAGATCTTGCATTCAGATGCCTAACCTCTAGACCACTGGGCCGGCATCCAACGGCGTTACTGTTTAACTCGGATTGATCAAGGGCTTTTACGCGAACTCACACACAACTGTCTTCAGTAGTTACTGCCTACACCCGACAGGGTTGAACTCCACTGGTCACATCTTCTCAACTAGAACTCCGAGAATTTCCTCACGAAACTAGTTACTAGTGAGCACGTTGTACGATATTTTCAATTAGAGTTTTGAGGATTGGTGTTTTTACACATTTGAAATCATCAATCAATCATTACTGTTTAAGAGTTTATATAGCTTCGATCCATTATGCTAACATTTATTTTTTCCAGTAACATAATAATAATTATTCGGAGTCTTATTGATTGCGTATATTTTTAAATATCAATTAGATTTATTCATGAATGTGTTTTTTTTTTAGATGTTCGTTGAATTATTTAATTGACTGATTATGAAAATGTGTTTATCTAATCAAAATTTTATCAGTCGGCTTTTTGTCTAAGAAAGAATACTTTAATAGTTTTGTCAGGAAACATATATTATTCACCATAAATTACAAGTTCTATAATGACTAAATGTTCTACTTGAAATCATCAATCAATCATTGTTAGACCACCATTGGAAACTTGAAAGCATTGGAGGGCGGTTTCGTTCTGCTGGTATCATCAGCGGGACGAAACTGCCGTCTTTCAGTACTTTCAGGTTTCTAATGGTGTGGGCTAAAAATGATTGAATGATGATTTCAAAAGTGTAAAAACACTAATCTCCGTAACTCTAATTGAAAATAAATGTCATAACTTCGTTTTTAAATATTCACATCCTGATAAAATATTTTCATGCTTTCACAGTTACCTTATTTATTTGAATGCTGCTTAAATTATGCTAATAAGAATTGTTCTGAACCGGAATAGAATCGGGTGCGCTGTTTTGTAAGAGTCAACTGTATATATATATATATATATATATATATATATATGTATATATATATGCTCACTTGTGATTAACTTCGTGAGGAAATTCTCGGAGTTCCAGTGAGAAGAAGTAACCAGTAGAGTTCGACCCTGTCTAGTTTAGGCAGTAACTACAGAAGTCAAATGAATAAAGTCACGTGAAATCCCTAGATTGATCAAAATTGGACATCAACACCGTTGTATGCCGGCTCAGTGGTCCAGAGATTAGACATCTGAGTGCAAGACCGTAGGTCCCGAGTTCGAATCCTGCGAGATGCAGGAGTCGTGGACGCGCACTGCTACTGATGAGTCTCATACCATCACGAAAGGGCCATCCAGTACTTCCAGATTTGTAATGGTGTGGTCTAACAATGACTGACCGATGATTTCAATGTGTTTACGAATTATATTTTTTTCATTCATTCAATACATATAAGACAATGTCGACAGTCAAACAAACAACCACCAGGTTCACAAACATCACAGATAATAAAGATAGAAAGAATTACATATGATGACTATGTCCATTCAAAAAGAATTTAATCATAAAAGTATTCAATTTTCAATAAGTTTTATTTTTTTTTAAATTTCGATGTATACAATAGACATTTTTGTTTGTGCCCATAAATAAAATAAAATTGACAATTGAATAACCTTGAGAATTTATTTTATGTGTATTTAAACAATTTATTACATCACTTTTCATACACACACATTGAATAAGAACTAATGACTTCAGTGTAATATAAAATAGGATACGAATATTGATTTTCTTCTACACGCTATCAGCATTTTATGTTAGGCTAATTGATGATTGCTCACGAAATGTGAATTTTAATCCAGGGCATATTTATGAAATATGAAAAATCAATAGAATAGAATTTATTAGCGCTGTCTAGAAACAACTGATATATATATATGCGCTATAGTGTTATTGTACATTGAACGAAATTCACGTATAGTAAATCTACTAATATAATACTTCTTCCCGCGATAACGAATGTTAATCCCGTTACTTTAAGAATCAAATAAGAAAGCGATTCTAGAGGAAGAAGTATATTTACTGCTTGCCTCGTGATATCGAAATAATATGGAGGCCAGAGGGCGTACAAACAAACGGCTAACGTCCACGCAGGAGACTCGCGAAGCGAATAACACGCTTCGCGCGCGAGAGATTGTCTTTAATACAGATAAACAAGAGGTGTACAACAAAAACAATTATTGTCAAAATTAAGTAACCTAATAAATTGTGTTTTCTTCGTAAAAGTATACCACTACAAAAACACAAATACACTAACTAACTCAGACAAAGTGATTCACCATTTTGTATCACGTTATTGATTTAATATCATAACATTATTTAGACTATTATTATTATTATTATTACTATTACTAATACTATTACTCTACGGTGATGCAGTTTCATTTTTCTAAGTTGAATGTTTTGATTGTGAAACTTTGATTATCCTTCTTCTACTGAAGAAGAACAACATCATCTCCACATTTTGTAGATTTAAGATTTAAGAAAATTAAATTATGTTCACATTTTTATGTAAAACTATTAAGTTTGCATTGTAAACAATGGCTTAGAAGTGAAATTTTTTTTCTCCAGAATTTATCATTCATTATTTATTGAAGTGTTTACACTAGTCAGATTGTTTAGTACAGTTAAAAAAAAATTAAATTAAATTTTTAAATGACTTATTTTAAACAAAGAAATATGTATGAATCATTGTCAGGTGTTACATAAATTATTATTATTATTATTATTACTATTGTAAGCAACTTGAATATCAACAGTTGTTCGTCAATGTTCAATCACAGCTTTGTTTAAAGTTGTAAATCAACTAAAATGGTGAGAGTAAAAAAAAACAAAACTGAATAAATGACGAAAATCGTTAAGATTTAAAAAAGAAAAAAGAAAATAACACGATAAATAAGAATTTATAAATCGGTAAATAGTTCATTTGCGACATTTACAGTGTAATATCATATTGATATACAATTTAGAAGTTGTAATAAGATGTTATGCATTGAAATAAAGCCAAGCATCATTTGATTACTTTTATGTATTAGAAATAAAATACAAGCAAAACTTGAAATGAGATCATGAGTTTGGTTAGTCAATGATATTGGGTGAAAACTAACACTGTCGTATATATATACATATTTTTTCAATTAGAGTTTTGGAGATTAGTGCTTTTACACATTTGAAATCATGAATCAATTATTGTTAGAGAAAATCATTAGGAACCTGGAAGCACTGGATGGCCGTTTCGTCCTGGTATGGGACTCATCATCAGTGCGCATCCACGGCTCCTGCAGCTCGCGGTATTCGAACCCGTGACCTTCGGTATTGTGCGCAAACGCCTAACCTCTGGGCCACTGGGCCGGCATCCAAAGGTGTTAATGTTTAACTCTGATTGATCTAGGGGTTTTGCGTGACTTCATTCATTTGTATTCTGTAGTTACTGCCTACACCCGACAGGATTGAACTCCACTGGTCACGTCTTCTCACTAGGAATTCGAGAACCTCTTCCTGAGGCTAGTCACTAGTGAGGACATTTTAAGACGAAGGTAGTCACTATATATATATATATATATATATATATATATATATATATATATATATATATATATGTATGTATATATTGTCAGGATAACTTTGCAGAAACTCGAAACAGTCTATCCTCCTAAATAAATTCAGACAATTCATCAGGAAAACACATTTTCTCTATGGATTAGCTCGAATTTAATTCAAGTTTTTTTTGGTGGGTTTTTTTCAATAAGATCTGTCTAAAATTAGCATTTACAAATTTTTTTTTCTGAAGCCTTGCGCATATAAAAATCCAACTTTTCTCTTATCTGTCATGCAAAAACAACTAATTGCGTGTAACGTAATTGTGACTAGACATTTTTCAAACTTTTTATTTTGTCGATCTCTTTATAAAAAAGATGATGACTTGAATTTTTGTAATTAGCTTATCTGAAGTTCAGTTAACTGGATTGTTTTGTCAATATAATAATAGAAGAATAGTTATTTTCTCTTAAAACAATGTAAATTCCTATCAGTAATATAGCAAGCATCCTTGAGTAATAACTCATAAGTGATCGATAAATCTTTTATTCGATAACTTACTTATTGATTTAATTGCGTGTTTCTTTACTAAAGGGAAGACAAGACTTGAAGAAATCACGTTCGAATATAGTTTTCTACTTTTAAAAGATGTTGCTAAGTTTAAAAAATATCACACTGTTATGCTCGTCAATTGATATGGCTTGAATGCTATTACGAGGTCACCTTAGTCGGTAAACGAAAGCGAAGACAAATGATCCTGTGACACGATAGGCTAATCTAGTCCGAGCGTCCTAAGGCCACACTAAGTAGAGGAAGAAGTCTTGACAAAGTATAGAAAGTGTATTCTACAAGCACCTAGAAAATATGAGGTCCACAAGCACACAAATCGAGTTTATTTATACATGATAGGAACGTCTTTGTGAGGGCCAAAAAAGTAAGTAGCGTACTAAAATAATACATCAACCAATGACAGTCAATGATTTTCCGAGTGAGAAGTGTAATCTCAAGGTCAACTGATCAGCTTATGCTCGAAAGCATAAAATCGAAAATTAGGAACTTTATCA